AATTGCTAATATTTGAAAGTTATATGGTTAGCAAATATCCAACTTTATGATATGATGTTTTATGTCAGACAATTTTAACCATAATTTACAGGTGACGCCATATTTTGACAAACAGCACAGACTTTATATTCCTAATATATATACAGTCAAAAGTCTTTAATCCGGACGTCCATAATCCGGAATGATCTACAATCCGGACCTCAAAGCTACAAACTTTCTGCGCATGCATAAACACATAATGCGGCTACGCATGTGCATAATACCTTTACGCATGCGCATAATACGTTTACGCATGTGTGTTTAATGTATAACGGATGGTCTAAGCTAAGCTAAAATTATCTAATTATCTATTTCAGTTAATGTTGCAGATTGCGTTGTTCCTTAATCTTCTAATTGGATTCGGCTTATTAATTTTTGCAGAATGTTAGAGCAATCTTATAAAAGTAAGCTTCAACTTTCGATTATGTCAAAAAGAATTTCCGATTCTGGAGCTGCCAAAGGATCTACAAAGCGAAAGCATGTTTCAATGTCCATCAAACAAAAAGTGGAATTGCTGCAAAAAATGGATAAAGACATATCCTTTGTTTCTCTAACCATTCCGGAATCTGTTTATTAATTTTACGCTGCTCTGGGGGGGGGGGACTGTTGCGGCACACAATGAACTGGAAGTTGATCTGTCAGCACTATCCTCATCTTCAGGGCAGATGTTTTTATTTTATTCGGCTTATAATTCCTTACTAAATGTAGTGTTTCATCTCGATGTACTCCGATATGATTTAAATCAATAATATAAATATCACGAATACGCATAAAAGTTTTCTGGTTGCAATTTTCTAATTTCGACTATGCGTAATGTATGCTTTATGCATGTGCACGTTGAAAGAAATGTTTAATAAAGTAAACAAATAAATATTAAGCTTTCTTTTTGTAAATTTTGATATCCTTTAGATCACAATTGCTCTCTATTTCATAAATTATGATTTCATGTTTTTAATTGTATAATTTCTGCATGCCATCTTACAAGATTTAAACTGATGATCTATAATCCGGAAAAACCGATAATCCGGATTCGCCGAAGTCCCGAGGAGTCCGGATTAAAGACTTTTGACTGGATAGACACGAACACACAAGACAACTTATTTCATAGCTTTTAAATTATAAAATTTTTTATATAATTGGAGAAAATTCTAAATTTCATCAAATCCAAATCCTAACAAATTCTTGAATCTTTCACCTTATATTAACAAAACTTTATCTAATTAAGGCAAAAAATAATAACTGCATTTAATGAAAAAATAAATTTAACAGTATGACTATTAAAATATATCTATATTTTTTAAAAAATATGACTGAAGTTTAAAAAATGAAGTACGACATTTTAAACTCTTAAATTTTACTCATATTCTCAACATAATTAGCATACTAGCATTACTTTCATTATTTATTTATTTTTTTCTTTCTTTTAACAATTGAAGAGTTTCTATTTACAATGAAGCATGTGTAAAGAGGGAGGATTATTTCAAAATTAAACCCTCTCCAAAGTATTATGAGAAACTGAAAACTTGTTAATTTTGAGAAATCAGAAAACCCACTTGCATCATAACATTCATGGATAACCATGAAGTTATTCTGGTGATCTAGCCACAGCTGAAATTGAATTTGTTATATATATATATATTTTTGATGAATGCTTATACCAAACATCAATACAACTAATTTTTCCTAAGTTTTGTGATAAGTTATTATACAACTTTTCAGATTAGGATTTGAAAGGTTTAAATAATTAAAGAAAAAGGCATAGGTTCAAGTTTTTAATGTCGTATCTCTATATAAAGCAAATACAATACAATTTCTGAGATCCGGTCGTCTAGTATCTGGAATAATCTAAAATCTGGACCTTAAAGGACACCCAAAAAAATTTTTTAGCGATTTTTTTCTGTTTTACACATATGCATTTGATTTTTACCAAGTAAGAAAACATGTGCAGAATCTCGATTCTCAATTTCACTTCGGCACTAAATAAAATACCTTATTATTGAAGAAACAATTATTTTAGCATAAATTCGTGTGATCAGTAATTTCGCTCCGTAGCTGCGTGTCTGCTTGGCATACATTTCAAACCAAAACATTCTACATAGAAACATCGTTGATTTTATAACTACTAATATTTTATATCCCTTACGTTTACCTGGGCGACATCAACATATGACAACTTGAGTAATGACTCATGCAGCAATGTATGAAAACCTTTTATGTTGACATTACGCTTAGCAATGATTACGGATTTAAGTTAAATGCACTAAATGTTGATAAGAAAAAAATTTCTTTCCGTATGCTACCAATAGATTTTGTCAATGATACTTATAGTTCAAAAGATTTAGTGCTATATGAATTAAGAAAAACTGATTTTTTATGCACATAAAACCAGAACTGGCATCAGAGCTCGTATGGCCACACCGGGATGTAGAATTTAGGGAAGACAAAATTAAGGTAAAATTTTTACAATTTAGGGAAAACACTGGGACCGAAAATTAAAAGATAGCAAAAATTTAGAACTTAGAAAGGTGCTTGGTAGTAGAATTTAGGGACTCGCAGAGACTGCATCAGGCAGCAAAATATCTAGTGCCAGCCCTGAGTAAGCTTAAGTATATGTGGGAATTTATTTATTCAGGATTCAAATAAGCCTTATGCAAGTGCAAGAATTAGACGTACGTATAATAAACAATTAAATTAATACAATTCAGGCTTAATTATCTCTGTGCATGATAGAAGCAAGACAAAATTTAATGAAACATTTTGTCTTTCATCATCACTTTCATGCTACGTAGCCAATAATGTATAGCGGATGCTGTTAAGCTATGCTAAAATTATACTTTACTGATTCCAAAGAATTTCAGTTAATATAGCAGCTTGCTCTGTTCCTTAACTTTCTGATTTGATCAAGCTTATTGCTTTTTCCAGGCTGTTTTAATTACAGCAATTTTATGAAAAGTAAAGTTTAAACTTTTGATTATGTCAACAAGAGTTTGTAATTCTGGAGTTGAATCAGGATCTGCAAAGCGAAAGCCTGTTTCGATGTCCATTACAAAAAATGTGGAATTTCTCTAAAAAATGGATATAGGTATATCTGTCTCAAAATTATGCGAGGACTATGGCATTGCAAAGTCAACTGTATATGACATAACAGAAAAAATAACTTTATGAATATTTTGTGGATTCTGACACCCCACTCGCAATGAATAACAGACAAATTATTTGCTATGCTAAAAGTTATGATCATGACAAAGTGATGATTGAATGGCCAGACAGAAACGCAGTGAAGATGTGCCATTGATGAGTCCAATGCTAATGGCTCAAGCCAAAATATTTTATGAAGAAATTAACTTGAAAACTGAGTGCACATATTTCACAGAGTGGTTAACAAAATTTCAAAATCACTGTGGTATAACGCAATTAAAAATTTCAGGTGATACTAAAGCTGCTGAACTTTTTGCAGATGAGTTCATTGAACTACTTAATAGTGAAACGTTATCTCCAGGACAAATTTACAATGCTGATGAAACTGGTCTTTTCTGGCAATATGTACTACGAAATACCTCGACAACCTCTACAGAAAAGGCTCTAACTGATGTCAAAGATTCCAGAGCTAGACCAGCAATTTTAGCATGCGCAAATGCTGCAGAAATGCACAAATGTAAACTTTTCATGATCGAAAAAATAAAAGAGCTGAAGCATTTAAGAGAAGTAAAAAATTTCCTTGTTATATATCGTGAAAATAAAAGAGCATGGATGACATATGTATGATTAATGTTAAGAGCACATTAATGCATGATTGGTTTGAAAATCCTTTCATAGCCGAGGCTCGGCAAAATTTGAATTCAGTTGGGTTATCTGATGATGCAAAAATTGTCCTGATTATAGATAACTGTTCAGCTAATATTTTGCTTAAAGTTTTAATGAAAGATGATGTATGCTTGTTATTCTTTCCTCCAAACTGTACATCCACCATTCAGTCTATGGATATCGGAATAGCGCACACACTAAAATGCAAATGTAAAGTAGCTTTTTTAAAAATCTATGTTGGCAAAAATTTTTTGGCATAATTTATGGCCAGCTAACATATTTCATGGTAAGGATGACGAAGATGATAGCCGCGAATCTGAAGGCTTTTGGATATCGCAAAACACAGGTGAAATTTTCCAATTAATGGATTTTGTAAAGAAATGCGGAGAAGCAGTAATAAATGGTGATATAACAGAAGTTTTCCATTGCGATGACAATGCTCCAATCATCAATCAATTAACGGACAGCAAAATCTGTTGTTTGTTATAAATATAGAAAATACCACTACTGCTAGTGAAGAAAGTGACAAAGATGTTATTGTAAACGAAAACATTTTGATTGACAAGTTAGTCAGAATTCTCGGCACAGCAACTCCAGAACTTGAACAGTGAGATTTTGTAAATGAACAAGAAATTATGTCTGCTTTTAAAATTGAAGAGAACATGTTGTTTATGGAAATGAAGAGAAAGTATTAGCACACGAAACTAAACAACTTAAATGATTTACAATCAAAGAAATGTTTAATAAAGTAAGCAAATATTTATTAAGCTTGTATTTATAATTTTGATTCCCGTTTGATCATAAATGCTTCATTATTCCATAAATCATGATTTCATATTTTTGATTTTATAATTTCTATATGCCATCTTACTAAATTTAAACTGATGATCTAATATTCGGAAAAATCCCAAATCTGGAATCGCCTAACTCTCGTCAAGTCTGGATCTCAGACTCTGTACTGCACATTTTTTATAAAAAAGGAAAAAAAGAATATCAACCCACCGAAGCTTGAAAGTTTCCAGATAAAAATGTATAAGCTTTTCCTCCTAGATAAAATTTAATTAATTACTAGTTAAACTGAATATATTTTCTTCTGTAATTAAGAAACAGAAGTAGATTAATTATCAAACACAAGGCCTAATGAAAAATATTCTCACCTTTGATATACTGTGCATGGCAAAAGGTAAGGGCATTTTTCACATAATCTTTTATCATTAATTGGATCTGGAAGATGGCACATTTCTATATCCTCATTTTCTTGCAATGCACATGCAGACCATTTGCGAGCATAAAACGCAAGTTCATTTCTGAGTTGAATTAAGCCTCTTCTTGAGTTGTGATTGCTTTGTATGACTTTCATATTGACACCATCTCGTAAGTACAGAAGAAGACCATCTGAAACTTCTTTAGTTCGCTCTTCTAGCATAAGTGAATATAAATTCACTTGTCCTACATGTTCTGCAGAAAACGTTGGACGACCAGTTTTCAGTTCCAGAGGCATCAACTAAAAGATCAAACAACTAAAATAACTAAATTAATACATCAGAATCATCATTCTTTACTTAGACTATATTTTATCATTTTTTGCAATGCCACAACTTGACACAGCAGTTGTTTTTAACATCAATAAACATTTAAAAAATTATTAAAATACTTAAATAATATTTTAAACTGTATGATTTTAAAAATCAAATTTTGAGTCAATTAAAATTAATATATAAAACCTTTGGAACAAACTGATTTTTCAAAACTGCATTAACTGTCAAATCTATTTTTCCCTTGATTCCAAACTTTGGGCACCAAACATTGTCCTCAATATCTCGGATTTCAGTTACTTGAATACTTTCAGAGCCTGATTTTCCATTAAAATTGCAATATTTAACAATCCAGTCAAAAATATGTGGAACAAATTTAATAACTTTCACTCTTATTTCTTCTTCTGTAAGGTCTTGACAGCATCTACAATAATATAATAAAATTTTTATTGTCCACAGATGAAAATCAAATTGAGTAAACATAGTGCTTTTTAATTCAGAAATTATTTTTAGGAAAGAAAATAATAACAAGAGTACATTATATAAATTTGGCACTTGAATCGGATAGAAAACATATAGACACTGATTTATCAAATAAATGAATATGCAATTATTGGAGGAGTTAAACCAACAAGAATCAGAGAAATATTGATAAATTTGCAGGATTAGTTTCAAAAGTTTAAATATAGAAATTTTTTTTCAGCTGCAGTAGTGTAAATGAAAAAAGAGAAGCCAGTGGTAAGATAAGGTGATAAGAATGGGAGGAAGGAAATTCAGCTACTAGCACCACTACTGATGAAAAATGAAAACAACTGTGAAATAATTTCCTTAAAAGCTAACAGTTAAGAATTGAGATTGATAACTAGAAGTGAAAGATTTTTATGAATGTGAAACATCCCCAGAAAATCTAATTTGACAAGTAAAGATTTTTAAAAAATAATTTTACTGCAGCAGAACGCAAATTTCTGAGCAACAGCACAGGTCAACAGAAGATTATGCTGTTTTGAAATTCAACTAATTCTACTTCTAAATCATGGATACCTAATCACATAAATTAGGTTAACTCCATTGTTTCAAATTTCATTTTAAAAAAGTAAATGTACTTTTTAAACTTTTAAATTGATTAAATCTCTTTTGAAAACCTTGTTTTATTTCCTGCATAATTATTAAATATTTTTCAATTGCACTTTCTTGACAGTCAAGCCTTATTTCAAAAATTATTGTTTCAAAAATGTTTTCGTAACAGGAAAATATTTCATGATTTTCATTTCCAAATCTTTAGTGAATATATCAAGTTCCATCGTTAGTATTTTAATATTTTCAAGCATCATTGATACAAATTGTCCATTTCCTTGAAGCTTTTTATTCAGTTCATTGAAATGCTGAATGATGTCACATAAGAACAATAAGTCATTCAACCAGTCTGTATTTGAAAATTCATCATAACTATTGTTTTTATCATTCAAAAATAGCTTTATTTCTTCTAATAAACTGACAAACGAATGAAGATTCCGAATTATCAGTTTTTCTGGATTATAGGTCATCAGTTTAAATCTGGTAAGATGGCATGTAGAAATTATACAATTAAAAATATGAAACCGTAATTTATGAAATAAAGAGCAATTATGATCTAAAGGGTATCAAAATTTACAAAAAAAAAAAAAAAAAGCTTTATATTTATTTGTTTACTTTATTAAACATTTCTTTCAACGAGCACATGCGTAAAGCATACATTACGCATAGTCGAAATTAGGTAATTTCAACCAGAAAACTATTTGATGTGTATTCGTGATATTTATAATGACGAGGAATTTGATTTAAATCATATCAAAGACGGAGTACATCGAGATGAAATACTATTTGTAAATTTTGTAAGGAATTAAAAGCTGAATAAAATAAAAACATCTGCCCTGAAGATAAGGATAGTGCTGACAGATCAACTTCCAGTTCATTTCGTGTCGCGACGTCCCCCCCCCCACACAGAGTAGCGTGAAATTGATAAACAGATTTTGGAATGGTTAGAGAAACAAATCACCCCTCTGTCACTTTCTTCATGCCTTTATCCATTTTTGCAACAATTGCACTTTTTGTTTGAATGGACACTCGAAACATGCTTTCGCTTTGTGTAGATCCTTTGGCAGCTCCAGGATCGGAAATTTCTTTTGACATAATCGGAAGTTCAAGCTTACTTTTATAAAATTGCTCTTACAGTCTGCAAAAAATAATAAGCCGGATCCAATTGGAAGATTAGGGAACAATGCAATCTGCAACATTAACTGAAATAGATAATTAGATAATTTTAGCTTATCTTATACCGTCCGTTATACATTAAACGAGCATGCGTAAACATATTATGCGCATGCATAAAGGTATTATACACAGCAGAAAGTTTGTAGCTTTGAGGTCCGGATTATAGATCATTCCGGATTATGGACGTCCGAATTAAAGACTTTTGACTGTATATATATATATATACACAGGAAGTAAGCTTAAAATTTGTATTACATTATAACTTTTAAAATAAATTCTTGCAGAGAAAATTTAAATTAAACATTATATTTAATGCACATAATAATAGAAATAAATTATAAAACACAAATATAGATCAAATTGGAATACAGAGCTAAGAAAGTTGCAAAACAGGCTGGAAAAAGAGTATCAGCTTCGAACTCACGACCTGAAAAGGCAAATCTTGCTGCCATCAGCTTTACCACTAGGTTATCATCACACAGACGCTTCTAGCAATTTTGGCTTATATACTTCATCAAGTAAATGAATTCTTAAAACTAATTTTTTTGGTCTTATTTCAGTGTGCTATTGTCTAAACAATTCACCAGAGTTTGTTCTTCAGCTTCTACAGCATTTCTTACAGTAACATAATTTTAAAGTGACTTTCTAATTGAAGTTAGACAGACTGTTAAAAATATATTCCCAGTGAAAGATGTGCTTACATGTTAGCCGAAAAGGTATATTCATAAACAGAGAAATACAAATTTAATATATTTTTAATCTAGTAATCAAATTTAATTTATAAATAACGTTATTAGTTCTTAATCTATTTCTAAAGGAAAAAAAAAATCTCCTAATGCCTTATCTGATTTGCTATAGCAGTTTGATATAGTCAGACATTCGTTTTTATTAAGTGTAAATCGGTCGTGGACACTTAGCCGACAGGACGTTTAGCTGACAAGGACAGTTCGCTGACAGGCATTTAGCCGACACGGACAGTTAACCGACATGACATTAAACCAACAATGAGCTCTTCCCAATGCTTTTAGATTTCTAATATTTTCACATTTCATTACTGCTTTGCTCAACACATCACACTACATTCATTCCCATATAAAGTCGAATCTCTCTTCCCACTAATGAAATTTCCTTTCCCTGTCAGGAAGTAGAGTGATTCACCCTACTCTTTGCCACACTGGAACTACTTTTTTATCTAAAATTCTATTTATACCCTCAGAATGCTATTTACGGTTAGGCATCGCATATTTATTAATCTGGGATAGGGCTCCGGCACGGGAATTCATACCTCGTGGCCTGCGGCCACCTAACAAAAGTAGGATTGGTTTATGTAATTACGGCAAAGCCTGAAGGCTATCTGCCTAACGAGAAGGATACTTCGAAGAGGACTTTCTAAGGAAAACTGGCTCATATACATGTTACACATGGGGAAAACCACAAAAACACCCATGCAGCCTGTCCGTTCGCGGGATTCGAAATTCGGACCGAACTGCCAGTATTCAGTGACTTTACCACTTGGCAGCTGCTGGGCCTAACAGAAATAGAGTGACCATTTTACTTAATATGTAAATAGTCTCTTCCAATAAAAATTGTCTTTTTAGGCTAGAACTTTATAAATCCATTCAGGAAAATGGGCACTAAAAACTTCCCTATAACCATGTAGCTAAAACAAAAACAAGAAAGAGAAGGAATGAATAATAATAATAATAATAATGAAAAGTGAAATGAAAATTGATACATTTTTAACAGATATTGAGAAAGTTACATTTTATAAGAAATACATGAAACAATATAACATATTATATTGAAAATTACACATTGCGACTTTCAAAACAGAGTACATAATTTTATCTAGTTATATGACTGATCTAGTTAAATCTAGCATCGACAGATGGCACCACATTACGGTGACTTTCCAGGATGTCTCACTTTGCTCCACCCTGCTTGGTGCCCCTCCTTCTACAGATTCCTCAGTTTTTATTCGGAGATTTTCCCCCAAGTCCAGAATTTCATACCAGCAACGTTTTCGATATATGAAGAGTCAAAATGTAGTTTTTGCAGAAATGTATTCAGTTATGAATGAAATAAAACGTTAAAGAATATTTTACTTCTAAATTAAACATAATGCACCAGTTTAGTGCTATAAACATTAACCCAAGTAAGTATTTTCAGTGAGAGGCGTGGTCAATAAAATGTTACAGAATTTTTATCTCAAGTATGGTGGCATGAACAGCCCATTATAGAGGTCAATAATTTATACCTTTGCTTGTCTTGTCTTAAAAATTCACTTTTTTTAATTGCTTCTGACAATAAGATAATATATATTTCAAAACTAACCCTTCACGACCATATGTTTCTATAAAAAGTATAATTTAAGAATAACAGTAATTTTTATTGCATCATTTAGAATTTTCATGACAGGGAAAGGAATTAAAGGAATTTCATTAGTGGGAGGAGCGAAACGATTTTGTAAAGGAAAGAATGTAACATGATGTATTGAGTAGAATAGTAATCAAAACATAATCAAACGTAAAGGTATTAGAAATTTGAAAGCATTTGGAAGAGCAAGACTGGGAAATTAATATCATTAAGTAAACAAGAAAAATTATTAATGATGTGAAAGTGTTCAAAGGTACCAGTTGATTAAATGAAGAAGCTTTACAGATAATTTTTGAAGGTCCCAAATGTAACTAAGTGACCACCGTACTTAGCTAAAAAAAAAATTGTTTTTTCCTTTTGAAATTTAATTCATATTCCCTGATGAGAAATTTCAGCACTTTTTCAATTTGGCCGATATACACCAAACAGAACGATACATGTCAAACAATACTAAATTATTCCAATGACTAAAAGCACATACGAGATCTTTAAGAATCGAAAAATGAATATTACTGATAGGTGAAAAAAAAAAAAAAACTTAAATATTGAACTTATGGATAAGTCGAGAAATTTTGTAATTCATAGTAAGTGTAAAACAGTTAGTCTTAGGATATTTTTCTTTCATAAGCAGCCTCTGGCTTGAAACTGCTTCATCCACCACATCTTCACAACACCATTGAGTGTTGTGAAGATGTGGTGGTTCTTTACCAAATTCTGTGCAAAAATGTCTTTGAACAACATTAAACAATGATGTTTTGGTATACGTCTTTCTCCTGCATGAATGGAACCAATTTGATTAACAGTGCTTCTAGTGGCAATTTTGTAACTGGAAGATTGTTTTGCTGTTGCCAGATAAAACTTGTATAATTGTAGTTTAATTTGTTTTGGCTTAACAAATCAGTTATGGAATTTGTAGTATGTATTTTGTCCATTCAATATGAAACACCCTGTATTTTATGCTACTAATTAATAAAATAATGTACAATTTAAATTACCTCTAATTATTAACTATTATATTAATTTATATATAAAAATATAATCTAATTAGAAGTTTAATTAATTTGAAAATCATCAATGCATGGAAACCATTTAATAAGTTAATGTAAGAAAAACGTCATGATTTTTTTACACCCTGATAACAATCATATGACCCTGATAATAATTTTATAACCTTCAGTTTTTTTTTTTTGGGGAGGCGGTGCTCATTATATACACAAGCCAAAAATAATACAGTTTTTGAAGTTGTGATGATTTAAGATGGCATTACAAAGTTACCAATCACAAATCAGTTGAGGCATGTTTCATATAAAATAAGAGTTAAACACTGATTGAAAATCTAATATTAATCAACTAAGAATACTTTATTTGTTTGAAGAAATACACAATATTATGAAAACAATACTAGACAAACCTTACTCTAGTACTTCTTCTAAATCAAAGAAAATGCTTGCCAAATAATTTTTAAAAAAAATGTTACCAATATTTTGTTATTCTGATACACACACATAATGGGTAAAAATTTGGTTCAGCATAATTAATTTTCTAGTCTGAATATTTTTCACCTGTCTATCGAACTAGGATTTTTCTCCTAACCTTATTTCCTTCTGTATAAAAACCAATATCACAGGGTTTTTTCCCCCTTTCAGGCTAGCAAAGATGACTCTAGTCTGAAGTGTATTATACATATCATTAAAACACATAATAAGGGAAAAGTTTCAACAGCAAAATCTTACTGTGCCTCCCCTCCCGCCCACACCTTTAGATGGATAATAAAATATAACAATCAACAATAAATTAAGCTGTTTCCCACTATAGGACAACAGAAACAAAACAACTTTCTTTAGAAGATATTTGTGCCATTCCAATAATTCCACAGTGAGAAAATATACATTTGTCATTAGCTGACTTCAACTACCGATGAAGATTTTTCTAAATATCAGAAATAACAGGTTAGTTATTTCAGTACATATAGAAGGAAACAGAATTATACTTCACAAAGCTTTTTTTGAAAACAAGAACACTGTTGTATGAGAGTAAAAAAAAAAAAAAAAAAAAAAAAAATTAATTCAATGGTGGGTAATAATGTGGGCAACACTAGCATAATTAATCTTTTCATAGAAAACTATTTGGCACATGCCACTCTATAAATATACATGTAATTTATTGCACTAAATCTGCACAAAGTTAAACATAAAGAAAATAAAGCAATTTATTAGAATTAGGGAATAAAAGAAAGCTTAACATATTTACTTACAAAGAAAGTAGATTTTCTTGTTTCTTCATCACTTTCTCAATAATTTTTACAATTTCTCCAGCACAATTCACATGTTTGTTTACGGCCTAGTAAAAACAGTCATATACTAAAAGTTCAATATATTTAAAAAAAGACAAGTGTAAATCAAAAACAGATTTCAAGACATAAAGGATTGCACAGACAATATAAACATATAAAAAAAATTCTCTTTCTTCCCCTCCCTTTACACAGAAAATATTTGCCTTTATTTATTGGTTTGGTTTTTTAGAATGTGGCAAAGCACATGAGGGCTTAAGGAAGCGTTGCCTTAATAAAGAACTTTCTAAGTGAAATTGGCTTGTATACACATCAAGAAAACCACAAAATTGCTCATTCAGCCAGCCTGTTTGCCTGGAATCGAAGCCAGATCAAACTACCAATGTTAAGCGACTTTACTGCATGGCTGCTGGTGGGTCTTGCTTTATTTATATTTCATTATATAATACCATTTGATATTGCTATGTATCTGTTTTTATTTATTTACATATATATTTTAGGGTAATTTTATATTATTTATTGCATATAAATATTATATTATTTTATATATATAATATATTTATATTACCTTATTATTATATAATATATTTTTATATATATTTTATATATAATATATATATATAATAAATACCTTATTTTATATATAATATATTTTAGGGTAATTTTATATTATTATTGCACACTTTGGGAAACCTTCAATTTGTGATCATTTACTACACTTTTATGCATTTTACAGTACTTGTAATTCTGTGTAAAAAGGTTTGGTTTGGTTTATTTAATTATAGCAAAGCACACGAGGGCTATCTGCCTAAGGGGAGGGATGCCTTTGTGGAGGACTTTCTAAAGAAAACTGGCTCGTATACACGTTACACATGGGGAAAACCACGAAAACACCCATGCAGCCAGCCCGTTCGCGGGATTCAAACCTCGAACCGAACTACCAGTGTTCAGTGACTTTACCGCTCGGCCACTGGTGGGCCTTGTGTAAAAAGATAAACTGAAATTGTAAAAATAGCCTAAAGAGAATTAAAAACAAAGGTTAATCTTAAATTTTCTACCTAAATCTGTTTCAATCTTTGTATGCTCTACTATAATCGATTAAACAAACAAATCTAAATCAATTTCTGTACATATTAAGAGTAAAAATCCTGACTTCAAAAATATTTTTATGAAAATTGACTACGTAAAAAATTAAATATTATTAGAGATCTGAAATTAATACCTCTGGCTACATACATAACATTTTCTCATTAAAAATTTATACATTAAAATAATAGCTTTTTAAAAATATTTCCAATATAGTTATATGAAGTTTTAATAAGACTCCTTTGATAATCCAAAGCTTCACCATTCTGTAATGGCTGAGTGGATAATTCTACTTAACATTATTGGATCATCCAGAAGTTTGAATAAACCAGAAATTTCCATGCTTAAAGCAAACTTTAGAGATATTATTTTTTGTGATATTTTTTACATAGCAAATTGCCAATATTCTGATATAAAATCATACACACCTGCTTTTAAAAGACACTATACTCTAACATATATCATTGCTATAACAAAGGAACTGATTGGTTCTATCAAGTTTTCTTGTATTTGTAACATTATTTTATATTACTACAGTGCAGTTGCTTTACATGCAGCTGTTTTACAGGGTGACCCAGAAGTCCATTGACATTTGAAAACTCAATAATTCATTGATTAATGTAGGTAGAGAGGTAAAAACTGACACATATGCTAGGAATGTCATGGAGTTTTACTAAAAGAAAAAAGTAAAAAATTTGATTAAAATGGCCAACAGATGTGCTTCATATGATAACAAAAGCAATAATTAGGATAACAACTGATTTGTGTTCTTCATAACAGATTTTCAACATGTTGACCATCATCCATCAACAATGCCTGCAGTCGAGAAATAATGTTGCGAACAGCATTGTACAGCATATCTGTAGGTATGGTGAGAAATTGTCGTCAGATGTTGTCTTTAAGCATCCCCAATGAGATCGGACGATCGTGGTAGACTTGCGATTTCAGGTAACTCCACAACCTATAATCACACGGATTGAGATCTGGGAAGCTGAGAGGCCAAGCAAGATGGAAGTGGCAGCTCAGCACACAATCCTCATCAAATACATGTGCAAGAAATCTTTCACACATGTAGCAATATGGGGGAAGAGCCATCCTGCAGTAAAAGTTATACCTTCCAACAGGTCTTTATCAGACAGACTAGGGATGATCTGATTTTGTAACATATCAGCGTACCTTGCATCCATCAGACTGACAGTTTGAATAGCAGAACCATGCATTTTCTTGAAGAAAAAGGGTTCAATCTCAATTAACCCTCTGGCTGCTCATCCCGCAATTTCCACGGGCAACTCAAATGTAGTAAAATCTGCTCATCCCGCGGGCATGTGTTTTTCTTCCTTTATTGAGGAGCGCATCCCGTTTTTCACCCATTTAACCACTGAAATAAATTATAAACAGTATTAGACGTTTAGTTTATGTGGTATTACCGCTCCCACTCCACTTTTTCCTGCTTTTTTCTTACAGAAATGGCTGCTAGAAAACATTCAAAATCATCAAACATTCGATTATCTTAATTATTTAATTATTAATAGATTAATAATTAGATTGATTATTAATTAGATTTATTGAATCTGGTGCAAAAACTGGACTTTGCCTTGAACCCTGTTTTGAACTCTATCATACTAAACTGCATTTCTAAAATATTTTTTCCTCAGTGCTTTATATTTTCTTAAATTTTACATATTTATTATTTATATATTTTTATATTATGCAATAAATAGAAATTAACTGTAATTTGACTGAAATTTATTAAAAAATTTTTTTTTTTTTTGGAGTGATAACATCTGAAATTGGTTTTTCTGGCAACTTAGTTTCTCATGATAAAAATCTATATCAAAAAATATTTTCTAGAAAGGAAAAAGCATTTTCAATTCTCCAATTGGTTTTTCTGGCAACTTAGTTTCTCATGATAAAAATCTATATCAAAAAATATTTTCTAGAAAGGAAAAATGCATTTTCAATTCTCCAATATATATAGATTTAAAACATGCAATATACATATACAATTTTTGAAGCGATTTCGGTCCACAAATTGAGCAGTCAGAGGGTTAATGTGATAAATCCACATCACACTATGACTAATACCCAGAAGCGAGGATAGAAAAGTGACAAAATCATGAAGGGACTGATTCCCTCTCTCACTACAGCTCATTTCACACACAATCCTCAATGCAGCATCAATGACATTTTACTGCGCATTGCCATATGTTGACCATTTTTGCATTTTTTTAAAACTTTTTTTTTTCTTTCAATAAAACCCCACATCATTTCAAGCATATGTGTCAATTTTAACCCCTCTACTTACATTATTGCATGAATTATTGAATTTTCAAATATTGACAGACTTTTGAATCACCCGCTTTACTGCTACAGTGCAGGGGCAACATTTTTTATGATCTTCTAGCAATAGTGAAAGGTATGCATGGGCAACATAGATTGAGAACTACTGTTATAGTGAACCTCCAAAGATATGAAAACTGATTGCAACTAACTGTGTGAGTACCTTGAATTAAAACACTTTTTCCATAATTTCTGTAAGTCTTGACGAAAAAATAACTAACCCTTAAGATTACCACATTTAAGATATTAGGACCAATATTTCATTCATAAAGGAAAATACCTTTATGTTACTTTCCTTTTATCTTCACACTTTTCTCCTGTGTTCTAAACAAAGGCTCTTTAAGAGGTTCCAGGAGAACAGGTACTCAATATACATATTTTTGGACACCAAACAGGCACAGGATCATTGAACTAAAAATGTTAATATGTTCTCCAATTCCATTCAAGCTCTATGACTGAGCTATCAAACAGAGCTCTATTCAATGCTGATGCTATAAAAGAAAATTTTTGCTATTCAGAGATTCTTATGAAGAATTCTTCATTCAGGAATAGAGTCTTGTGGGCGATACAGTTGATTCCACTTTTAGGAAATGAAATTTTGATACTTATTGGTTTGTTTTCTTGAATATATCCTCCAAATGGAATTTTGCATTTTTAGGTCTTTTGAAAGACATGAGACATTCTTTATAAAGATTATTAGATCTTTGCTTTGCACAGACACATTGCTACAGAAATAATTTTTTTAAAATCTGTTTCAGAAGAGTAAGACTCTCACATATTCTTTGACCAAATTTCTGCCCTCTGTTACTGTTACTGTATAAAAAATTCATCTGCATGGTAAGCTGTAAATGTAGAGTGTTCTGCACTAAGGATAATGTGAATATTATTTGAAAAACAGGAACAATTGAGCCTTAGTATTTCTCTCACGTAAAAAATTTAGATATGAGGAAAAAGTTGAGAAAGCTGAGCATAAGGATGTTGAAGACACATTGTTGAAATGGTTTATTCAAAGAACCCAAAATCTGTCAATACCTGATGCTACCTGCCAATGCCTGAAACAGCCAATGAATTTGCCAGACACTTTGGATAGACTACCTTTTTGTGTTCAAATGGCTGGTTAGGTAGGTTAGTGAAACATTTTTTCTGAAAAAAATTGTTGGAGAATGAAGCAGTATTTCAAAATTTGATATGGAGAAGTGAAAAAAAGGGGGAGTGATACCTTTTGCCAGCACCAAAAGAAAAAAAAAAAAAAAAAAAAAAAAAAAACCCATTTCCAATGCAAATTAAGTAGGCTATTCTATAAAACGGATGCCAAACCATATGTTAAAATTTTAAGATGGAAGATGCATAGGCCAAAAACTGTCCAAATTGTGAATCACAGTTCTTACGAATACCAGTATGAATGGCACTGAGCATCATAGGCTTTTGGTAACTGGAAAGAAATCTAAAAAGCCAAGTTGCTTCAAAAATGTGAAAAATGCTTCCTCTTTCCTATAAATCTAATCATAATGCATGGATGATGTCAAAACTGTTTGAAGAAGAGTTACAAAAGAGGAATGAAGAACTTTTGGTCAAAAAGGGAGATTCTATGCTTGGTCGACTATTGCAATGCACACACAGATGTTGGAAACTTAAAATAAATTAAGATTTTTTTTACTTCCATATGCAACTTTGATGCAGCAATCTATAAACCAAAGCGTGATCAGAAGCTTCAAGTGTCATTACTGGAAGCATTTTGGAGAAGTATGACAATCATGTTGATTATTTTTCTTGATGGAATGCTAATGCTAAAAACGTCTTAGTGACTTGTAATAGAATCAATCCCCTGAACTTGTGTTTAGTATGCAGGTCTAGCAAAGGGTTTTGAAGATGAAAATAAGCATTTGTTTATAACTAAAAGATTAGAAAAAAATGTTGTTTCAATATTTTCAGAATGCGATATAGAATTTTTTTAAGCTGTAACTATGGGAAAATATGGAATGCGATGATAATGTTAACATGCGAAGATCCAAGTAATGAAGATATTATGGCAGAAATTAAACTGAGAAATAATATTAATGATTTTCTTTCAAATACCGATGGAAATGTTGTAAATGCAACACATGGAAAGTGAACTTTTACCACAGCAGAAGGTTGTGACACGTTATTAATAAGTTTTTATTCTCATAAACTGTAGAATCGAAACTTATTGAAACTTTTCAGTTTTTGGAAAAAGCATGATAAAATGTTTCTGTAGCCTGCATCACATCAAACACAAAAATTACATGTAAATTTTTTAATGTTTTGTGTTATTCATTTTTAGTTTTTATATTGTTCTGGATGAAATAATTATTCATGGTTATAAAGGTGTAATTTGAAGGAAGGACCAGAACCATGATATTTATAACAAAGTAATTTATCATGTAAAATTATTAAAATACACTGGAACTTGAAAAGAATGACCTATAATCATAGGGCATAATAATGATGATAAATCTTAGTAAGATTTTTTAGAAATTAGGTTTATTATCAATTTACTTTTTGTAGATGTGACAATGTTAATAAATTTTTTAATCATTATTTAATTTTTACATGGTTTTACGAGACAATAAATTTTTCTCATAAAATCCGATATAGCAAATTTAACTTCCAGTCCATTGAAGTTAATCACAGCAAAGTTTGATTGTGTGTGTATGTACATTGGTGAAATAAATTAAGAGAATTTTCTGTTTTGATCTACGATCTCCAGAACTACTTTTAATAAAATTTGGTGTGAACATAGTAGGTTGATATAATACAAATAAAATGAACATTCAACAGTTATAATAGACACACATGTTCGTGTGTAACACTCAGGGGTATCTGAGGTCTGAAACGGCGGTTGCAGAAGACACAAAAGAAACGGTTAATAGGGGGTATGGTCCCCTTTTACAGCCATACAGGCCTCGCAGCATGATGTCATAGTGGAAATAAGGCAGTTTATCAGTACCTGTGGCAATTGGTCCCACTCATTCAGCAATGCTATTTTCAGTTCCTGGATGGTTCTTGGAGGGCAGTTGCGAGTTGCAATTGCCCTCCTCAGAGCATCCCAAACATGCTCTATAGAGATGAAGTCTGGAGGCTTGGCTGGCCAATCCATCTGGCGAATATCCTCACTGTCGAGCAATTCGTCGACCAGAAGAGCTCTATGTGGCCTCGCATTATCATCCTGTATGATGAACTCAGGGACCACTGCACCCCAGAAAAGGCGAACATAGGGCTCCAAGACTTCGTCCCTATGCCTCACACCAGTAACAGAACCTCTGTCAAAGACGTGGAGAGGTGTGCAGCCATCCAACATGATGCCTGCCCAGACAATTACACCGCCACAATTGGTGATTTTGCGGACATTGGAGTGTAGATAGCGGGTTCCCAATTCTGTCCATATGAAAGTACAGCGAGAATCGGTGTTTAGGGTAAAACGGGACTTGTTGGTGAACAGAACAGTCGCCCATTGCTCCACACTCCAATCACTATGCTGCCTGCATCATGCTAATCAGATTCTCCTGTCCATAGATGTCAGAGGGACGCAAACAGCCAGTCTTCTATCAAACAACCCTGTCTCATTCAGTGTTTTGGAAACAGTCACCCTTGTTACATGGGTTCCTGCGGCTGCATACAGGTCCTGAGAGAGCTGAGAAGCTGTAGCTGCTCTGTTATACCTTGCTAAAATGGACAAATAGCGATCTTCAATGGCCATCATGGCTCTTGGACGACCTTGCCCAGGCTTTCTCTCGATGGATCCATTATTCTGGAACTTTTCTATAGGTTACATATGACGCTAGCCGTTAAATTAAACTCTCTGCATATCTGGACTTGTGATTGGCCTGCCTCTAGCCTCCCCACAATTTGCCACTTAATTCCATCATCTAAATGTTGGTGGTTACTCATTTTTACTGTTCCGATGTGAATTTAACCGACTGCTGCAAGATAACACCAAGAAATTCGCCAAGGTGTCCTAGAGAACGCAATTCATCTTACCCTCCACGCGCTTATAAAGCCAGTTTTTCTGCTGGCATAAGTATACACACACATGTATGCTTACGTACTTGCCGTACAAGATTTGCATTTTTAACTAGAAGCAGTGGGTTTCCCTTCAGTTCAGTTCTTTTCATGCAATTTGATAAAATATGCAAATTCTCTTAATTTATTTCACCAGTGTATATTGCTAGCAACATATTTTAAAAACTTCATTAATTACAATTACTTTTTAATGTTTTCAATCTATAAGTACTTTATTATATTAGTGGCATGTGTATGCTGTAGAAATACTGGTAATTTATGAGAGAAAGAATGCAAGAAATCAACTCTGAAATTTAGGTTTTTAATACTAATGCTGACATTTTTTTTTTTTTTTTTCCTTTTCTGTTAGCCAGCATTTTAACATTTTTATCTTTGCTTTTGCTTTGTTTGATAAGATTATTTAAAAAATTACTTTAAAATTAAATAAATTAAGCTTTTTTAGTGCAAATTTCAATTTTGTTTCACTGTATAGATAAAATAACATAAGAAAATGTACCATATATGCTGCTGAATGTAATGCTATTGAGAAACATACCTGTTGAAATATATCATGCACTAAACTTCCTATAATCATAATACTGTTTCCTGGTGACCACTTTGGTAAAATATAATTAAAAACAGCTTTCCTCATGCAGAATAATGTTGAAACTACAGCTGTGCTTGATACAAGAAAATCTGGATTTACTACTAGAAAACCATTATTATCATCAATGACTGCTTGCTTGTTTTTAAAATCTTCTAGCACATTGACATTGTCTCCATCATTAACCAAGGTATCTGTCCTAAATTAAATACATTTTTGAAGAAAATACATTTTAACTTTGTGCAAAAAATATTAAAAAAAAAAAAAAAAATCTTACTAGTGAATAAGTCAAGAGAAAAATATGTAAATAAAAAAGTCACAACAAAATATTCATTCCCATTCTTAGTTATTAGAGAATTTATGGATTAGTTATTAGAGAATTTGGAGAATTTATTCTTAGTTATTAGAGAATTTAGAGGATCAGTTTTAAAAGGCTTGTGCATTTATTTTGTCTCAAATAACAATAATAGAAGAAATGACTAAAAATATGAAGTGTCTTAAACATTATATGATTTGAAAATTACATTAAATTTGCACCAGGAAATAAAACAAGTTGCATTAAATTAACAAGAATTATATATCACATAATATACATTATAATAAGAATTTATATTATATGCATCAAATGTGTAAAATAAGTCCAAGAATGATCTCAGTGTATATCCTAGAAGGAATCAAAAATATAGCATAGAAAAAGTTATTAATATTATTATATAAAGTTGTTAGTATATAAAACTGATCAAAAAATATATAACTATGATTATTTTAAACATTATCACTTCAAATGGAAAGAAAAATTAACATGTCATTTCAAAATAAAATCACAAATAAGAAAGAATAGCAGTGGATAAAGAGATAAAAAAATATATGAATTAAATGATATCTAGCTAGAAAAATAAAACAAAAAAATATGAATGAAGATTTTACTATTATTATTTTTCATTCTTAAAAAAATATTCATATTAATTTACAGTGTGTCCATAAGTTACTCTTCTGATAAAGATATGTTTTAATGTTTTAAATAATACAGAATAAGAGATAGGGAAAAAAAAAAAAAAAAAAGACTGGACTCAATTTTCAGCACTTCAAAGAATTTTATATTCATACATTTCAACATGAGCACCATTAGCTGCTTGGAGAATACTAAGTGTTCTCAATTTCCTTCATGAGGTTATTAAGCATTTGTAGAATCACAGCAGTTGTTTCTGCAGTGATCTGATTTTTTTAATAAGGAAAACATGCACAAGTGTAACCCAATGACTGGAGTCCCATCCTGTTGGCAAAAAAATTTGGTTGCATTTCTTCTAATTGTGGTACAGCAAACAATTTCAGCATATCGAAGCAAACGTCCAAATTGATTCATAACTCAGAGAGAAAGAACAGACCAATCACTTTATTATAAGTTCATGCATACCAAATATTAATTTTAGGGCTACCTCACTTAATTTCTTCTATACAATGTAGCTTTTCTGATTCTGAAATTCTGTAGTTATTCTTCTGAAACATAAAATGTTGCTTTGACAGTAAACAAAATTTTTTGAAGAAATTGATTATCATTACTGATATGGTCAAGAATACATACAGAAAATTCCTTACTAATGACTCAACTATTAGGTTTGAATTTGTTAACAAATCTGCAATTGTTTCAACCATCCAAAAGCAATTTTATAAACAGATGACCTGAGAATTCCTAGTGCAGGCTGGCACAGTGAATGTGGTTACTGGTATTGTGCACAAACATGTCTTGAATGACAGAAACATTTTCATCATTGACTCTTGGTCTACATGCATCTCATTTATGCAAAACATGCCAGTTTTCAAATCACCTCTGAATTGTTTTTAGAGCTTTTGTTTCATAAAACCAGAGAACCTTCATTATTTGATTGCATGATGCAATTTTATCTGTAAGGAAATAAGTCCTCTGTTGCCATTCCCAAAAATTAAAACAAATGAAATTACTTGAACTTAAGATATATCAATATAAATTTCTTGTTATTTATTATAATGTTATGTTTAATTTTATTTAATCATGTTTCAATTTTATTTTGCTATTCAGTGATTAAACTATGGACAGCCTGTACATTCAAGACAATAAGTATTTTTCTAACTATAACAATACATTTTTGAAAAAGGTAGTTAAGTTACCTTCTTACTGAATGCAACTATATGTTTGAGAAAACATGTTTCAGTTACTTTCAATATGAAATGCCTGTTACATTATTACACAAAATATATCAAATACTGACAATTAAGCAGTAAGAGAATTTAGGAACTAGTTTAAATTATAAAAGTTTCTCCCTTTCTAATTATAAAAGTATTTTTAGTATATTTGTATTTAAAGAGAAACACTTACATTGCACCTCATGTGTATGAAGTAAAATGATGACATGCATTAAATGTCTGCAATATATTTACATTACACTGACAGGAAAGAGTTACACTTCCATAAAACCATCTCTCTTAACGAAGAAACGTATTAAATTATTTTAATAGCTAAGCAATCAGCTATTAAATAATATTTATTAATAATCAGCTATTAATAATATTTAAATAAATTAATCAGCAGACATGCATAAGGTACCAGTAAAATATTTCAGTACTTTACAGCAGGGTTTCTTAAACTTTTTTCACTTGCGACCCCTTTTTATCACTGAGATTTTTTCGCAACCCCCAGGACCCCATAATATTTACAAACATTTTGTGTGACCCCATAAGTATTGTGCAAATGCAACACATGCATGAGTGAAACTGTCAGTTTTTTCACTTGTACTGTAGTATACTATTGCAGTTTTAGGTTCTAATTTTCTAACTTTAATTTCTAATTTTAAGACATAGAACAATGTGAAAATTTTAAGTAAGTAACAGGCGAAATGACAGCGTCACATGCAAAGGAAGGAAAATGAACGTTTATATTATAAAAAGAATGCGTCGAAACTTTAAATTTTTTCCTTCGTCTGTATTGTCTAACCTTTGTTTATTTTCAGATACATTGCGTAAAAATATTTGATAACTGTAAAATTATTATAATACGAAATATCAAAACTGCTAAACTTTTTGGCGACCCCCTGCTGCAGGTCCCGCAACTCACAGTTTATAAAACCCTGCTTTACAGGACTGCCCCATATGGATGCATAGATTGTGCTCAGTCTGAAACTGCTTGGGAAAAGGAAACAACATTTTCAAAAGAGGTAAGAGATAAAACTTTACTACATAAACTACCCAATTTAAAATAAATGATAAGATAGTGAAAAGTGGAACTGTTTATTTTGACATATAATACAATACTTCTTAAGATATTGTATAAATTTTAGAGGTTTTTTTTTTAAGGAGTCTGTTTAACAATGAGCAATCAAAGAAAAAATTCAGAAATGGCTTAAATGACCCAAATAGTATTCATTAATTTTTAATATTACCCTAAACTTTAACCACATATAAAAATTGGCTTATATTATAACTGGGGTTTTCAATCTATAGATGAGAACACTTATTCAAATTTATTATAATAAATCATTTAAAATTATAGCACATCAGATTTATGAGGTTATCATCAGATTTACATGAGCAAATGCATATAATCACACAAATATGCTAGGCAAATATAACTGACTCCAGAATAAAATTACTGAGATAATATCACAAGCTTTCTTTTCATTTCATATACAAGTCATTGATCAAATTTACAAATTAATTATTTGGCTAAAATCTTCTTGAAGCAATTAATATTTAGGGAGTAATACGAGAATTATACAAGTATTTTTTACACATATAATGTATTGGTTGGTATTAAAAAAGCACTCAAAATTTGCCCTTTAAACTCAATATTCTTATCCCATTTTATTTAAATAGGAATTATAATAATTCTTAATACATTACTTAAATAGGAAAGACGTCTTAACAAAAGCATTGGTTCCCTGGACTTTAATAATGCTTTTGGGCCCCTGCTTACACCACTTTTTTTATAGGTTCTCAATAAATTGGCCAAAATATGGGCTGTATACTCGTGAGGCCCCCAAACAATGCCATTAGTGCCAGTGCACTATGATGGCACTCACAAAAAGTACTTCATGAAAGTATAAGGGTCATTCAAATGAAAGTGGCATTGCTATAATAACTCCACCATTTGAAGAGAAAAGTGACTGCTCATGCTCCTACAGAGAGCACAGAGTGCTTCGAATGCATGCAATATCGTCAGATCCCACTAGATCCGTGTGTGATAGCATTGGAACATGTTAAAAGGTATCGTTAGCATCATGGATGCCTCCAAACGATGTCAATGTGCAGTCTCGCAATTTTTAACAGCAGAAAATGTGAGAGCTTCTGAAATCTATTGTCAAATGCAAAATATGTATGGCATGGAGTGTATGAAACTCAGATCAGTATTCTGATAGCGTAAGGATTTTCATAGTGAAAGAAGCAGTACTAACAACAGGCCACGACCTGTTCAAGCACATGTGGTGATCACCCAGAAAGCAGTTGCAGATGCGAATCATCTCGTGAAAATGAATCAGCGAATCTCCACTTGAAAAATAGCGAAAGAAATGTCTATAAGCATAGGAAGTATGCACACAGTACTGCGTGAAAGGTTGCGATACCGCAAGGTTTGTGTACAATGGAAGCCAAAACATTTTGACAGAAGAGCAGAAGATTCATCAGATGTTTGTTTCCATACAACACCTTATGCAGTATCACAAAATGGGGAGCCAATTCCTTTCAAGGATCATTACTGCTGATAAAACATGGTGCCATCACTTTGATCCAGCCACCAAAAGCACCCAGGGTACCCATCGACTCCTTCACTGCTGGGATGCTTGTTTCAACCTACAAGGCAATTTGTCTAGCCTATGAGTTACGTATGTATTACTTCTTTCTTTTGTATACTAATTTATATTAATATATTAAACCATTTCTCAAACCGACTGTAGTGCCACTTTCACTTAAATGACCTTTATAATATATGGAAAACTTCTCAGATTTTGAGAAATATTATGGGGGACAATACTACAGACAGAGATTCGGCACTTATGCATTATCGCAACCACCCTAGTAGAATTCACTATATTTTTAGAATGTACCAAACTCTAGTAACCATGTGCATAAACATTAATCAGACAATCATGCTCATAGTTAAAGCAACGTTGACATTTTCGTATACTTTTCTTTTTGTTTTGTTTTGTTGTTGCATTCAAGTTCCAACAGATT